GCAAGAAAATGCCTACTTGCCTGGCGCCCAGAGCCCAGTCATCTGGGTCCTCACCCTCACTGGCAAATCAATCACATAGGGCTCAGGGATGTCGATGTCATCTGATTGACAGTACTGCTTGGTGACTTGGCCTGCCACATGATTGGGATTCCTCCCGAAGTTCCCAAAGCTGGCCATGAGCTGAATGTCTGGTGCAGATACTCCTGTCTTCACAGCTGCAAATGCTATTCTTTGCAGATCAGGTCCCTTAGCTGCACTGCCATGACAAACAATGCATGGCCCAGCCGAAAAGCAACATGACTTGCTTCCCAGCTGCAGACATGCCACTTGCAAATTGCTCCAGAAGGCAAAGCCCTAAGGGGCTGTGCTCTTCCTTGGGCACATCCACAACTTCAGTTGCTTTCTTTCTTTTCCATTTTGCCATGGCAAACCCTTCCACAGGTCCTTGAGCCCTTTGTCCAGGGCACAATGAAACCCTTCCCACCTGGGTGCTTGAGCCTCCACAAAGAACACACTTAGAGCCCTACCAAACAAGCTGCACAACCTCTTGCAAAGGCGACCTTTTTCTCACTGCCACCTACCTGTTGCATTGTTAGGGGAACTGGGCCCTTTCTCAAGACACCTTGCAACCTTTACTGGGCCCTTTCTCAAGGCACCTTGGCATCTATTCACAACTTCTTGGCTGTTTTGATTGCCATAGCAGCATCAAACAGCTTGCCCTTGGCAGATTCTGCGTTCATCTTTGTCTTCAGGAGCTTCTTGAGGTCAGTCTCAGGGCCATGCAAGTGATCCTTCACTTTGCTTGTGCCCACCTCCTTCTTCACTGCTTGAAGCAGCTTCAGCATCTTCTCCACCCTTTTCTTGAGCTCACCTGCCACAGCACTGCTGCCCATATCACTCAAAACCTCAGCCTCAATCACTTGTTTGTCTTTCCCTTTGGATGCTTCAGCATCTTTCTTCTGCCGCTTGCTAGAGGATGCTGCATGCTCTGAGCTCTCAGAGTCAGATGGTGGAGGTAGCAATGCTTTCATGTGCTTGCTGGCCTTCTGGGGCATGACATCTCTCAAGGCCTGGTCAGCTGACCCTTCCTCATTGCCAAGAAAGCCTTTGGCCTTGACTTTCATCCAATTGCACACCTCCATCTTGCCCACCTGCTCTGCAGCCACCTCATGCCTCTGCTCTGTAGCACTGTAGTCCACATTCTTGGCCAGGGCAAATTGCCATTCATCATCATCCAGAGGATCTTTTTGGACAAGAATGGTGCCCTTCTTGACCTGAAATCAAATGTGACCTGAAGTGAAATTTCCTTGCCAACATTCATCACAAGCACAGATATAAATTCTGAGGAGGTGGCTCTGCGAAGTGTCTCTTGCAAGCCATATCTGTGCAATATGGTGGCAAAGGGCACCCATTCCAAGGATGCCTACATGCAGGTGGAATCCAAGAACTGTTGTCTCAAAGCCTCAAGCAAGAAAAAACAGCTGCCTGAGGTCTGCTGCAAGGAGAGGACCTCCTTCTGCCAGGCTTGAGAATTCTTAAGCTCCCCTTTGGTTTGAAGGAACACCTTCAAAAGCTGCTTCTTGTGTTGGTCATTGTTTTTGCCTTTGCAGACAGTATTCCAAACTTCCTCCACTTTGGGGTCCTTGGTGGAGCCCCTGGCCCTTTCAAATTTCTTCCAGAGCGCTTCTCTCTGGTTCCTGGTAAGTGTGCCCAGGAAAGAGTTGAGGTCCTGAGTCTTTGACCCCTGGAACAACTCCATCTTTTCTTCCAAAGACATGGGCTCCTCAGGCTCTGGGTTGGCTGCAGGCCTCTTGTAAGGTGCAGCTGCGGGCTTTTTCAAAATTGTGATTTTCACCATGGCCCTTTCACAGGTCCAATCAGAAACCTTCTCAGGCCCTTTCACAGGTCCAATCAGAAACCTTGTCAGGTCCCAGACTCAAAAAGAATCAGCAAAAGCCTTTCTGCAGTTTGGCTTGTGAGCCAAAGTGGCAGGGTTGCAATCTGAGTCTTGCTGGCATCAACCTCACAAAAAAATATTGAAGCCTTTGAGACCACTCCAAAAAGCATAAGTCATATGACATCATATGATGTCATATGATGGTGGGGTGGTGTCATATGACATGTTTTTGTGTCATATGACATGTTTTTGTGTCATATGACATTTTTCTATGTCATGTGACATCATGTGACTCCATATGACTTCACCACAGTTTAGGCCACAATGGCCCAGAAATGCAAGACAGTGGACACACACACACACACACACTTTTTTGGTCTCCAGCCCTCTTCCTCTCCAAGAGCCCTTTTCCAAGGCCCATGAACCCACGTGCAGGGCCAACTGTTTCTCAAGGAGCCCTTTGGCAAGGCCCACAAGGTGGACCAAAAAGTGCCCAAGAGCCCTTTGGCAGTGCCCATTAGCTGACCCAGAATGTCCCAGGAGCCCTTTGGCAGGGCCCAAAAGCTGAACCAAAAAGGCTGCAGAGCAAAGACAACCACCTTCAACAATGCACACAACCTTCAACAGAACAAAGCAAACAACCACCACCTTCAACAAGGGCAGCATTTTTTCCATCCATCGGCCTTGCTCACAGGGCCCTTTTGCAGGTCCCACAGGTGAAGGGAGCTGGGCCCTTTCTCAGGGCACCTTTTTCTTCTTTTTTCCCCTTCTCTTCACCTCCTCCCAGTCATCACCAGAAGCATCTGGTTCTTCCTTGCACTGGGTCTGGTGGCCTGGCAGCACCACCCATGTGCAATGGCAATGGAAAACAAGAAACACTTGGCAGGCCTGAGCTGGATGCAAGCCCACTTCCTGCCAAGAGGCCATAGGGTGGAACCAAAAGAAAATGCAGAAACATTAAGCCAGTCCTTTGGGCTCTGCATCTTGAGGCTGTGCCCTTGCCTTG